TTTAAACATGATTCTCCATAAATGTGCACTGACAGACTTACAGTCAAATCAAAAGTTTGTAGTGAAGCCCCGGGGACTTTACTGTGGTCACGTGTCGTGACATCCGTTCAGAGGCGCGCGTAAAAGCCGGAGGAGCGACGTTCTCAGCTGCAGAGATGTCAGCACACACTCTGAAGATGACAGCATCTGTTCAGTACATAAGAAAACTGCTGATGAAAAGCAGCTGTGCGACAAGCAACCTGTTGAACACTGGACACAAAACACAGAAGAACACTATTGATTATAAAACAATCAGGAACAAAGATGGAAAAAGTCATAAAAGAAATGTAAGCGACTATTCATTTTAAAACGTTATTTCTTATTTACTTTATTTTTGACTTTTCTTTATTATGTTTGATGTTGGATAAGGTTTGATATTTCTCTAGTAGGCCTATTTGATATCTAATATTTAGTAAGCTATATAAATAAAATATTAACCTAGTGACTTATTTTAATAATTAACAAAGTGGAATGTTATTTTTTTTAGGTTGTGCAATCCCAAGACGAGACAACAGAGCAGTATATAAGGTAAAAAGAAAAAAAAAAGTTACTGATTTGCATTTCAAGTTTGTCAACCCACATATGCAACTCAGAGTTGGTCTGACTCTTTCTTGCTCGTGTCTCTTTCTTGGTTAACAGGAAAAGTGTCGTTTTAAGAAGAGAAGAAAATGAAACTTTTGGGTTTGACATCCAGGTAACCTCATTACCCGCCCACCCTCTCTCTCTTCTCATACTCTTCTTATCCTTTTCTCTCCATTCATTCAAGCATTACGCGCCTGCCTGAGGGCTTATTATCTGTCAGGGGATAATTTAATTTTGGATGATGAATTGATTGGGTCTTTACTCCCTGTCCACAGACAAGCAGTGTTGAGAGAAGCATCAGCGCTGAGCAGGATTTGGGCTCATGTGTGTGTTGGGTGAAGGAGAACAGTCTTGCAGAGAGTAGTGGGTTAATGACGGGTGAGTTATCAAGACACCTGCTTACTTCTGTCAAGCACCAGTGTCATTCATACTTTCTCATTACTAAAATCTCTTTGTCTCTCACCTCAGGTGATGTTATTATAACAGTCAACAATGTGTACATTGCTGGATTCACTCATCAGCAGATCAAGGATCTGGTTCAAAAATCCTCCATCTTAATGTAAGAGCAAACACAGTTACATGTTTGATATGTTAAACCTTTTATAATCATTACTGTACAGTTAATGTTATTAGTACATTAATGTATAAGGGAAAAAAATGTTAAAATGCTACATTGTTTCACAGAATTATTTTACACTATGCTGTTTAACCACACATATTTAAATTATTATTGTTATTATTAATAAATATGGTTTTATTAAGTATTTTTAAATCATTTTTTAAACAAGAAAAATATGTCACATGTTTATTGATGGTTTAAAAAATATATTTACAGAACACATTTTATTATATTTTATTTACACTTTTTATTGAACTGCATATTTTTACAATATTACACTATACTAATATATACAAATAGCCTATACTAATATTGTTTTAGCAAAGTACCGTTGTAGTTTTATTGTTATTAAGCTCTGTGAATCAGTCAAAACCCTGACTAACCCTATTTTTCTCTTGTGTTGATTGTAGGTTGGAGATTATCAGAGGTGCTACAGAAAAGCAGAGGCAATTGCTTAGGAAGCTTTATCTCCTGCAGGTGATTTGCTTCAAAATATTGAACATTTCTTATTAACATCAGTCTCGTTTTATACCCTAATAATTTTATAACGCTATAATCATTCTTGTCCTGATTCTGTCTTGCGTAACTTGTGCATCAGTAGTTATTTACGGTAATGTTGTTGTATTGGGTAACTGTGCGAATCGTGAACAAAACAGGTTTCCTCATGCTTAACAGGTTTTTTTCTTTCTCTGTGTTTCCCCCTCACATTTACACCACACTACAGAAACAGCTTACAGAGAAATGCGAAGAGCTTCAGACACTCATCGCAGAGGAAGTGCATCTGACAGGAGGTGTGTGTTCATGTGTGAGAGCAAGACAGAGAGATGTGGGTATAAACTACCCACAACAGAAACGCATCATTTCCCCATAAAGCCGCACTTTGCCTTCAGGATGCCAACAAAAGCATCTGTGTGTGTGTGTGTGTGTGTGTGGGCGTCATGTGGGGAGTGTGTGTGCTTATATGGAGAAATTCTGCTTAACCAGGAAGATACTTTGCTGACAATTCTTGATACTGTTCTGATGTGAAACTTCAGCACGTCTACACTGTAAAAAATGTTTTGTCAGGTCATATAAAATGTGTCTCGATAGAGTAACAACAAATTTAACTGGTTTATTCAAGTAAAATGTATACTCTGTGATGCCTTAAAAGAACCATTTTTGGTTCCCCATTCTTTAGTGTGAAGAACATTTCAATAATCTAAAGGATCTTTTGCCACTATAAAGAACCTTTTGTGCAATGGAAAGGTTCCATGGATGTTAAAGGTCCTTCATGGAACCATATGACAATAAATAACCTTTATTTTTTAACAGTATGCATCGACAGAAACTTTTAAGAGATCTTACAGGAATTACATATGTTAAAAAGTATTACATAGAATAGCATACTACTTTATAATGAATAATAATTTGTGATAAAAAACACTAATATTTATTCATTTTCATATTTATATCATGCTTCTTTAATAAACCTTTATAACAAACTGATGTTTTGCTGCTTTGTAGCACACGCTGGTTCTGCTTGGGCTGTTTCTCACAGTACGCTTAATCTTGCTGAATGTGGTTTGCATAAGTTGATTTGTCTGCTGTTTACTTCTGCTGAACATGTAGGTTTCCCAGATATCATCTCAGTCAGTGGTAAAACACCAGATGCATTTCTCATTCACCACATAGATCTGAAGCATGGCAGGAAATGACACGTCATTGACTGTATACATCCCGTCTCAGAGACAAACCCTAGCATTCTCACCACTTTTATAAGACTTGATTGACAGTATAATTGATGCCTCATTCTGTGTTCGACCTCTCTGAAACCTAATTTTATCTTCTTAAAAGACTTTGTAGAATATCTTTACAGTAAATGTTGAATGGCAATCATACAAAGCAAAAAGTACGATTTTGCTAATTTCGTAGATAACCCTGGGAATGTTTATCCAATCACAATGAAGTCTTGCTTATAATTTATATGTAAGATTTGAGCATCTAGTTATTGTGTTTGTTCAAACACAGAGAGTTTAAATTTATACTAAAGGCAGTATACTTAACAATATTTAACTGTGCCTCTTTTTGACACACTTAAGTAGGACTTATATATGTTATATGTCATTTCATAATTACTTCTAGTGGTTTATTGAAATATGGTTAAAGTGTACTGCTGAATGCACCAACAAGCATTTATAGTAAAATAAAATAAATACATTTGCCATTGCTATTGAATCGTGTATGTCATGTATTCAAATATCTGTAATTAATGAAAATGTATTACTTTAAATGTAATATCAAATAACACTCTACACTGTAAAAATGATTGTGATTTTAACAGTAAAAGACTAAAAATGCTACAGTAAAAACCTGTTAACTGGTTAACAGTAAGTTTCCATACTATATTCGGTGAATAAATGTAATTACATTTAATGTAATTTTACAGTAAAATACTGTTAAAAATACGGTTTTTGAAAGTGAAAAAGAAAAAGTCAATTTTATAATTTACGCCGGTATTTTACCGTAAATGTCACAGATTTTTTTTACAGTGTACAGTTATAATTATAATTGAGTACTTTACATGTGGTGTAGTGTCTTGTTAGTCAAGACATTAAAGTAAGTTAAGATAATTTTTGCTTTATTACAATGTGCACTTTTTTAAAGGGCACTTAACTGTGTTGAGAAACATGAAAATGTTCTCTCTTTAAGTACATTTATATAGCCTTTTATTTCAATAACATTATATTATCTGTTTTGTAAAACATATTTTTAAGATTTAAAGTACACTACAAGAGCACATTCAGTACAATTACCTGTAAGCACACTTCTTTTTCACGAGGGAACAGTGGAAAAATAAAAAATAAAAAGCAGAATAGACACACGCTTCCCACAAACAGGAGGCTGACTATTTGACACCTCCAAAAGATGTTGGACTGTGAAAATATAATATCCATATGACAGAAAGCATGTTATCCTTGTGTAAGTCTAGGAAAACAAAACGTTGCAGTAGAAGAACACCGAGACATCTCACATCTTCGAAATATTTAAATATCCTCGGAAAGAAGCTCAAAATAGAGAGTGGCAGTTTTTCAACTGAGTGTCCTGTCTCTACCATTGAACCCATTAATCCCACAATCCCATGCTCCCTCCAAGAATTAGAAGCCAAACAACACTGTTCTCCAAACAATGGGGATGAAATTCTCATCAACTTTGCCACTGGGAATGAGAATGAGGCTGCGTCACACAATGCCAGTAAATTCCACTGAGTCGTGAAGGGAGGGACACAGACACAGCCATGCACAGACTGCTCACCACAAGAGACTACTTCTGAGCATCCTTCTCCTTCAAGGTCTGCTCTCACAGGAACCGGAGTCAGACCTACTAACACAGTGCCACAGAGCCAACACGAACAAGGTAAGATACATTATTGAGCAAGTACAATGCGGTTGTAGAGTTTGCATCAATGTGGTGGTTGGTTTCTGCGTTTGTACTAACAATGCAAATCTCCTCCATAGACTGGTCATTGGTTTTGATGAAGGTATATGTTAACTTCTCACATTCAGGTGGTTTGGTTTACTTTTCAAAGTGCATAAGTTGTTTTATGTTGAGGAAAAACAAAATTTGGTAAGAAAAATTACACAAAATTACACAACCATGAAGAGAACAGCAACGATACTTTCAAAATGTAATTTGAAAGATGTCTAGACATGGTTACTTGGACAGATATTCTCACTTTTCTGTATTTATGCAACCGAATGGCACATTTGTCATTTCTTGCACGTTATGTAAGGCCTTGTTGAAACAGACAGGAAGAATTGTGTACTTGCTGTTCACATTCCAGCAGTTAGCTTTGTTTAGTCAAATCAAATTAAAATTCCTCAAAACAACTTAGCATCTTTTGCCAAGTCTCATCCTATCCTGTTGAGGATTTACCAAAAGTCCTTTCCCAATTTGGACATGACAAACCATTGTGTTGATCGAAGGCATAGACATTGACTGTCATCTGAATACCATGTCAGGTGAACTGGTGAAATTACAGCACAGAAACACCTATTTATTTGTTAATTATCATTTTAATATAGAAACCAATCACTGCAGGCATGTTACATCTGTGTTTCTTGTCAGTTTGGTTCGAACATCTGTTGATTTTGGGGTAAATGGACTGGAATTCAAACTGAGGAATTGTGTCTCTTTTCCTTTATAAATTTACAACTACTGCTGCAATCACAGGACAGGAAGTGACATCAATGGAGCAAAACGACAAGGATACATTGGAAACTGAGAAACAGCAAATGAATGGTCAAACAGAAGAAGCACCTAAAGAGCCGGCTAATATAAGTGAGAATAATTCAGATAAAAATGATCAAGAAATAAGTGAGAACAATGCAGAAAAGAATGAAGCAGAAATAAGTGTGAACAATGGCGATCAGAATGAAGAGGAACATGCGAAGGAAGAAGAGGATGAATCGGCTGATGGTTTCCAGGCTTCTGTCGAGATGTCAATCCGGCAATTTGAGGAGGACGAAAACAACCGCCCTATTTGCAGGTACAACACTGTCAGCTACAGGAAGATTAAGAGAGGAAACACAAAGCAGAGAATAGATGAGTTTGAGTCCATGCTGGATGTATAACAGTGATGAATGTCGTCAGAGACACATACTGTATGTAAGAACTGAGTGGCGTCATCATGTATGTTTTCATGTGGTTCCTTCAAAAGTATGTGATTGTTAAACGTCTTCATAGTTAAAAGGCTTAACACACAATCGCACGAACAGTATTTTGTTACAGCTTAATTTTGGCCTATATCATATTTTTGTAGAAATCAGTAGTTGTTGAAAAAACCAGCATATGCTGGTTAGGTATGTTTTGACGCTGGGATGCTGGTTTAAGCTGGTCCTTTGCTGGTTTATGCTGGTCCTTTGCCAGCACATGACCAGCATAAACCAGCAAAGGACCAGCTTCTTATTTATATATATATATATATATATATTTATTTATATTATATATATTATAGCAGTATAAATTATACTGCTGAAAATATATAAAACAGTCCTAATTTATGGCAATTTTATTACTATTTTTTCCCCACTGTATGTTTTTTTTTTTTTAAATGAAAATATTTTGGGGTCCCTGTGTTTTAAGCGTCTAAAAGTGTCCAAATACTTTTGAGGCCACTGTATAACTCAGATGAATCTATCGGTGTGTAAAATAGTATGTAAAATAGTGTGTAAAATCAGTTTTTGTAAAAGTACAGTAAATCCCAGCTCTGTATTTTAGGTGCAAATGAATCCACAGATGCTGACATGTTCCTTCTAACAGATCTGCGGACGATGTACAGAATAAATGATGATTTGAGAGCGAGAGGTCGCCTCAGAAGTGTGAGTCATCCGTCAGTGTTTGTGTGCTGGGAGAGCGGCCCACTGTGGCCTGACTCTACGGCAGACATTCATGAAGCCCCCTCACGCCATGATCGCTCCACAATGACAGCTTTGTGAAGGATGGAAGAGAGCTGCTGTAGAAAATATTCAAAACACAGAGAGAAAGAGAGAGACAATGAGAGAAATAAAGGAGCTATCAAAGTGTTTAGTTCACAAAGCCTGCGAGTGTTCCAGCTCCACTGGAAACTTTCAGTCGTTTAGTTGAGTTTAATGGGGGTGAGAGACAAATAGAAAGCTCGCGTCTTGTGGTAAACATGGGGTGGGGTCAGGAGGGGTCATTTTTCTTTGTGCATTCAGTGGGTGGGTGTGATGGGTTACTGGAGGCCTGCTCCGCTGTCCATTCTCTCTTCAGGTCAGATCCAGAGACCAGTGGCGTCACAGTGACTCACAACGGACATGCCATGACAGACACACAGGAACTGATGACGTCTCACATCATTTAGGGGGAATTCTGAGTGAAATAGCTTCTGAAAAACTAATTTCTTTGGGGTGGCGTTGTTTCCTGCACAAAAACTCAATAATTAACAACGGTCACAAAACCAAACCAGTTCCAAAAGACTCTATGCCACCTTGAACTTCACATTCTTGTCATGGGCTAATAAAATATCATTTAAAAAAGAAATAAAAATTCTGTTTAATTTAAATGATTAATAATTGTAGTATTATATTAAAATAATAATAAAATACAATTTTTTGGTTATTACTATTAAGAAGCAAAAACAGAAAAAATCATACAGTAATATAAATAAACAGATAATGAAGTGAATAGATAAATAGATAGACAGACAGACAGACAGACAGACATATAGACAGATAGATAGATAGATAGATAGATAGATAGATGGATAGATAGACATACAGACAGACAGATAGATAGATAGATACATACATACATACATACATAGTGCCTTTATCATAAAGTGCTTTTACAGAATGGGTTTGTCTATTATATAATTTTCCAAAATATTGCAAATGCACGACATGAAAAAAGAGAGAAACAAAAAAAGAGAGAGACATGTGTAGAGAGCAGGGGGAAGGGAATTAGAAAGGGTGACCCCAGGATAGTGGAGGTCACAAGAGGTTTTCCTGATGAGTAGTCCTTTGGGGTCTCTTTTAGCTTTGAGTGACAGGCATCCATTGTGATGGCTGTGAACCGCTGCACTCTGGTTTATATCCATTCTTATCACCAAACCAGGGATGGTCTGAAGAGATGGCCGTCTGCAATGCATAGAATAAGGATGGCTTTCCACCACAAATGACCACAGAGTCATTTGTGTCCATCCAGGAGGGAGAGGTTGAGCGGAGAGGAAGTGCGATTGTACTGGTAACACAATGCACAGGTGCTTGATAACTGCTCTGAGAAGACAGACAGTGGACGGCCTGACGTGGGGGGTGGGGAAGAGTTTATGCAGGGACCAAGTCGGGTTTCCCAAAGGATGGCATTTTAATTTCTAATTCATTAATCTCCTCTGTGCAGCCATCCTGCTTTGTGGAAAACGAAGACCAGTATAAGATTCACCTGACTGGCTCGAGTCAAGGTCGCAAGGTATGAAATCAGAGATATACTAAGGTGCCTCATTCTCAGTTTAGAGAGAGAACAGGCTAAATGTTCCACAAAAACAGTAAAATCTAAAATCAGCTGCATGAGGGAAATGGCAGAATAAACATAATAATGTTTTAATGAAACTGCAAAGAAAGCAGGAAGGCAAATTTATGTTAGGTTTAGAGTTAGGCAGTGTTGGGCAAGAAACTCAAAAATGTAGCAAGCTAAGCTACAAGCTACTCTTTAGATCGTTTTCATGTGTGATATAAGGTGTGTTTTGTTCTAAATGCTCCACAAGACAGTATAGAAACATTATATTTCCATTTGTTGTAATGCCTATTAGTTGAAGAGATAAAGTTACAACATTTCCTGTCATCAAGTCAAAGTCAAACACTGTAACAGGAGTACAGCATAAACCAGTGTGTGTGTGTGTGTGTGTGTGTGTGTGTTTGTGCACACCTGATTCAGTTGAGTGGATGGATCATTTATTTTGGAACCACTCTGACGAAATCAAACTGCAACCAAAAAAAAAGGCTGTATCCGAATATCCATATTTTCCTACTACAGACATAAAACTGTGAAAAGATATCTGAATTCATATTATTCATAGAACAGTGGGGAAAAAGTACCTGGAGGACCTACTACTTCCGGACAAATGCTGAAGTGTGCATGCCGTGGAGACTTTACTATCCCATGAGGCCATGGATTTGTGAATGGCAGTGAAACTACACAACTGACACTGGTAGGTCACATGACAATGACAAGACATTCATACTACATTCATTGCTTTCATACTACATTCATACACACATTAATACTATATAGAACTGACTTTTTTAATGGTTGCAAAATACTTATAAGAAGTATCTACTCAAAGAGTATGCGATTTTGGACGCAACCAGTCATGATTCATAATAACAGCATGACCGATTCATTGAAAAAGAGTTGTTCATTCCCAAATCTGATGCCTTTTTTTTTTCATCATCTTAGCTGACAGAATATTGTACACACATATTTTTTTAGCTGAAATATTGTCGAAAAAATGCAACATTGTAGTGTTTCACAACACTACCCAGCTGCTTAAAATTAAAGAGCTTCAATACAAAAAAATCTACATGATGTCAAAAATATATAAAAAGCCATATAAAGGCTTGGTCACATCAATACAAATGTTTAGCATGGAAATTCTATTTTTGTCTGTATACCAATGCATTAAATTTAATGCATTGGTATAAAATTAATTTTTCATTCACGCCATCCGATTCAGAATGATTAAATCTGTCTG